CTCTTTCAGTTGTGATGTTGTTTTCTGAGGGTTTCCTTGACACCCTCGATCCACTTTTTGCGTGGCCTTCCTCTTCCTTTATAGCCTGAGGGCTTGGTGTTGTAGGCTCTGGAGGCTGGCTGGCCAGGTGACATGCGTAACAGGTGGCCAAACCATTTTATCCTCTGTCTTTCCGTGTAGCGCAGGCAGGACTCAGTGCCGATAGCTGCTCTTACTTCTTCATTTCTCTGCCTGTCTCGTCTTGTGATGTTAAGGGTTTTGCGGAGACATTTCATTTCGCATGCGCTGATTTTGCTTTCATGGGTTTTGCATAAGGTCCAGGTCTGGCTCTGATAACATAATGTTGGTATGAATATTGAGATGATAAGTTGTCTCTTTGTGTCCATGGAGATGTTTGGATGAGATAGAAGGGGTGCGAGCTGGTAGGAGACAGCGTTGGCTTTTTGAGTTCGCATCTGATTCTCTGTCTATGGACCCGTTTTCAAAAAAAGTGCTGCCAAGAATATATTCAAACTCCTTCACCTGTTTCAGTTGTTCACTATTGACATGGATGTTTCAGGTGTTTACTACTGACATGGATGTTTCAGTTGTTCACTATTGACATGGATGTTTCAGTTGTTCACTATTGACATGGATGTTTCAGTTGTTCACTATTGACATGGGTGTTCAGGGGACTATGGTTTCGGCTCACTTTCATAACATGTTTGGTTATAAAAAGCAAGAGCGTATTTTTCTCTTCATTTCATATTGGTCTGAAATAACCCATGCCATATTTCCCAAAATATGGGTTATAAACGACCCACTACATATTATGTTCCTATATATTTATGCATGGGTCATAAACGATCCACGGCAAATTTTTCTATTTTTATACAGTGCAAATGGGTCATAAACGACCCTCGACACATTTTTCTATATTTATATATGGGTCAGAAACGACTGACAGCATATTTAACTATACATGTATATTTCTATAGCCTACGGGTCAAAAACGACCCAACAGGACCCAGGACGCACATGGTGCATAGTAAAGAACGACCTACTAGGGAGGTTACAACATCCCAGCAGAACGACCTACTAGGGAGGTTACAACATCCCAGCAGAACGACCTACTAGGGAGGTTACAACATCCCAGCAGAACGACCTAC